CGGGGGCAGAGAGCAGAGTGAGGACATGTGAGAGGAGCAGCCCTGCAGAGCCCCAGGGCAGCGCAGGAGGAGGGGCAGGAGGGGCTCCAGGCTCGAGTTGAGGTTCCCCTGCAGCCCCTGGGGGGCCATGGGGGTGCACATGAGGAGCCCATCCCAGAGCAGGGGGTGCCCACAGCAGGATGGGAGCCCCGGGAAGGCCGTGCTGGAGCAGGTCCTGGCAGGGACCTGCAGCCCCAGGGGAGAGGAGCTCACGTGGAGCAGGTTCGCTGGAAGGACTTGTGACCCTGTGGGGGACCCACACTGGAGCTGTTCCTGAAGGACTGGCCCCGTGGAAAGGGACCCACGCTGAAGTTCATGGACTGTCTCCCGTGGGAGGGACCCCAGGCTGGAGCAGGGGAAGGATTCCAACTCCTCTCCCTGAGCAGCAGCAGCAACAAATCTGTGATAAACTGACCATGACCCCCATTCCCATCTCCTTGTGCTGCTGGGGGGGAAGAGGGAGAGCCCAGGAGAAGAAAGGGTGTGAGGGGGGAAGATGTTTTTAAGATTTATTTTACTTCTCATTATCTTTAGTAATAAATTCTAGTTTATATCCCCAAGTTGATGGTGATCAGTGAGAGATCTCAACTCATGAACCTTTGATATATTTTCCCTCCCCGTCCACTCGTGGAGGGCGGTGATGGAGCAGCTTTGGTGACTCGAGCAGGGCCAACCCATTCCAGGTGGGCAATTTCTGACACAAAACCAAACTGCATCCGCCAATAAAGGACCTCCAGGCACAGCCAAAGCTCAGACACCTCTCCAGCCCCCCTGAACTCACCCTGAGGAGAGGATGAAGATGTCTGGGAGACAGTCTGGGCGTGCAGAAGTTCCAGTGCAGTTTGGTTCTTCTTGGTCTTGCGCTCGGTACTCGCCGGGTTCATCTTCTTGGGGCGGCCCCGTTTCCTCCCAGCCATTTTCCTTCCTTTCTTGCTCAGCTTCTTCTTCCTTGCCTTGGAGGGAGATGGCTTTTTGACAGAGTTGGCTGCAGCTTTTTCTTCCTCAGCACCAGAATCCTGAGAGGTTTGGAAAAGCCAAAAGCTCTTTAAGCCATTTCTACCTCTGTACGTAAAGTTCCTTCGAAGCAAACCTTAATGACTGTGTTTAACAGCTTTAAATTTAATACCTCAGAATAAATATATATCTTAATATCTGTAACCTTAATGACTTTCTGATAGTAAACTGATGCCTTGTAGTTTAATAATTGCCAGTGAAGTGGCCTCACTTGGGATAAGAGCAGTTTCCAAGGAGTTGTGATCATTCTCTTCTGGATTTAGTCCTTACAGGAAAGAGGGAGGGGAATCTTGGGGGGGATATTGGGAATAAATTCTTCCCTGGCACAGGTTGCCCAGAGCAGCTGTGGCTGCCCCTGGATCCCTGGAAGTGCCCAAGGCCAGGCTGGAGCAACCTGGGCTGGTGGAAGGTGTCCCTGCTTGTGGCAGGGGTTGGGATGGGATGAGCTTTGAAGTCTCTTCCAATCCAAAATCACCCTGGGATTCCACTAAATCTGAACCTGTTGCCTGAGAAAAGCTGATTATTCATCCTTTACTGACTAAATCCTTCAAGTGAACTTCATTTAAAAGCCAAAGTACACTCGGTATTTTGGGGCAGGAACAGCCACTCATCTCCGAGGGGATCCCAGCAGGGAGCGAGGAAGGAGCGGGGTGTTTGCAGGAGAGGCTGAGCTCAGAGCCGGGCTGGGATGGGGGGACGTTCACCCCAATAACCCCCCACCAGCTTCATTCCAGCTCTGCTGCTCTTCCCAAGGGCAGCTTGGGGATCCCTCCCTCGTGTTTCAGCCCTGCTGGGGTCTGAGGGCAGAGCCCCCCGTGTCCTGCTGACCCCCCTGAGCTGAGCCAGGCACAGCCTGGACACGTTCCCTGCAGGGAAAATCCCGAGGGTCACCTTGTTCTCCTGGACCTTGGTCGGGGTAGTCGTGTTGCTCTTGTTTTCCCTCTGCTGACGCCGTCGAGCTGCCTCTTGTTCCTCCTGGGGGAAGGGTGGGAGCATTTCAGTCATTAAATTGTCTTTATCACACACATATAGATATATTTGATACATTTATAGTGCATATTTGTCACTTTTTAATACGGATCACTGTGTTTCCCAGCTCAGTTTTTGACAACAAAAGGGGAAAAACTTACTTTTTTAAAATAAATATTTACTTATTATATCATTTAAATTACCAATTTAATATGTTAATTATAAACAATCTGGAATATAATACATTTATATTATTATTTATGTAATTATATTTATTCTTATATATATTATATTCTTATAATTCTTATAAGAGATATATTTTCTATAAATAACATTACATATTTATTTTTATATATTTATAATTGATTTATTTATTATTATAAATTTAAGTTAAATATTAAATGACCATATTATTTCAACTGCCAAATCAGTTTTAATTATCTAAATATTATCTATTTTTATATCGATATTATATCCATTTTTATAATTTATATCTAAATTATATTTGTATGTTTGTACTTTTATTTATTAATGTAATTTAAATGTTATATTGTTGCATTGTTTTTATTTCTAGTCTGTTCATAACATATTTTTATATTTTATATATTTATAGTTATGTTGTGTTTATACTTATAATTTATATTGATTACATTTAAATTGTTATATTAATAGTTATCGATATAAATATAATTTAAATATTCAATTTAATAATGTAATTTAAATTAATATTAAATTAATATTACTTAAATTCCCAACACTGCTTGGGAACAGGGAGGTGAAGGCTCTGCATTCTCTACCTCAAACCTCCAGCAGGGATTAAATCCCAATCTCTTCCCATATTCTCCCCTCCCAATCCCACTCCTGTATCAAGTTTCAGAGTTTTTTGCTTTATTTTTTATTATTATTAAATATTTCAGCAGTTTTACCACATCCCCAACTTTTCATGCCTTGATCCATCACTTTAAAAATCTGACATTTGGGGAAAAAAAAAAACGTGGAAAAAAGATTTCCGAACAAAAATCTGGAAATGGCAAATCCATCAATCACCATCCCCTTCACCTTTGGCCACGTCAGTCGAGGGGATGAATAAAAAACCAAAAGCAGCAACTCTTCAGGTTGATTTTCTCCAAGGCAAACAGGAAATTTCCTCTCTCAGAAAAAAAAAAAAAATCTCTTTTTCTTTCATATAAAGGGAAAAAAAAAAAAAAAAGCCAAAACCCTCTTTCAAACCTGACATTTCCAAGAGCTCAGTCAAAGCCTTTCCTGCCCCTTCCAGGTGGGATTTAATCTGTGTAAGAATCCTGGAGATTCCAACTCCTCACCCAGAGCATGAGAAAGGCAGGTTGAAGCAGGGAAGGTCACAATCTCACCCTCCCAATTTTTGGGTTTGGACTCCCAGAAGTCCTTTTTTTCCTCCCCCAAATCTGAATTTCACAGCCTGAAATAACCCAATTTCTGCCCAGGTCAGTCCTGCAGATGAACACCCAGCTCAGGTTTTTAAATGAAGTGACCTCAGCTCATTTTCTTCCTGGCAATTCCAGCCCCAGGTTATTTCAGATTAACATCCCCCAAAAATCCTCTGGCATTTTAATGCCAGCTCGTTGTGTGTGTGTCCCAGCAGGGCACTGGGACAGACTCAAAACCATCCCTGCCCTCTTTAATTGCAGCCCTTTAATGAAGAAACGGCTCAGCAGAGCCCCCCAGAGCAAGGTGGAAGCACCTGGAGGCTGCCCCATTAATTCTCCATCAGGAATCCAGGGGACATAATTGAATTAGTGCTTGATGGGCTCTGATGCTTCACTTCAATCAGCTCCTTGCCCTCTCCTAATCAAGAAAATCTGATTTCCTCTCAATCCTGGGCATCTGTGACCAAATCCTTCAGTGGTTGCTCCAGTTATTTTATTACATTTCATTTAATTTTTGAGTTTTCTACGGCGAATGATTGAAACTTACCCTGAGTTTTGGATTCTTGAGACTAGAAAAATAGTTTTCAAGCTGAAAACAGAAGGGGGAGAGAGTCATTTTCAAAGCTGAGCACGTCAGAATAAAATACCAGCTTAAAACAAACGCACAAGTGCAGAAATTCTGACTGGTTTGCCCCTGATAAGCTCCATTTCCATTCACTCTTTTCAGCCACACAGCCTGTTGTGTAACAGGACATAATCCAACCTCTACAAGGGTTTTTTTATCATCTCTAGCACTGGCTGGCCTTGTTTGAAGGCTTTGTGTCACATATCTCCCCTCAGCAGAGGGGAATTTGCAAGGGAGTTATTTCCCCTGCACCCTTGTACTCCAGGATTTATCTCCACTCTGGCTTATTCCTCAACAAAAGCACTGTTAGAGCACAGCAGAGTGAGGGAAACAGCCTCACAGTCATACTGGAAATAAAAAATACTGTGGAAGAAATGATTCGTCCACAAAAGGTTTCATTTTTACAGGGGGGTTTTTGGTTTGTTTAATTGAAGGGGAAAAAAAAAAAAAACAAAAAACAAACAGTGGATGCATCAGTGCTGTTGTGGAGCCTGGGCTGGTCCTAAAACTGGGATTTACTGGTTGGGCATGACCAAATGGAATGGTTTGTGCAGCACAGGGAGGAACCAGAGACAGAGATTTCACTCAGTGAGGGACTGACAGAACAAAATCAGGATTCTGAAGGGGTTTTATCTGTGACTCTTCAGGGAATTCCCAGCCCTGGCCATACCCACGAG